TAAGCCAGTAGATGAAAGATAATCTCTCTCTCTCTTTCTAATCATTGAGTAAAAAATAAAAATGTGAAAGAGTCACTCTTCATATAAATCTATTTTTAATTTACAAAAAAATGCATTTGTTTCTGATATTTTTGTATTTTTGATGCCTCATCTAGTTTTCTTTGTATCAATCCTGATTAGGGGGACTTTGAGCATTTAAAATCTATATACTGGGGTCTTTCACAAAATTTGGGAAACTTTTAGTGATTTATTCAAACATACATTTTTTGTTTCTCTTCCTTCTGAAACTCTAGTTTCATGTATTGAGGGTACTTCAAAAATTTGTAGAAATTAGAAATAAAAAAGCTTATTTTCATGCATTTTTTCAAATCTATGCATATACAGGGCTTTAAAATATTAATGAAAATGGATATTATACTCATAGCTTTCAGCATTTTTCACCCTGAAATGTAATAAAGGTATTAATTCCACTCTCCACAAACTTACAAAGTGCCTTTGAACATGAAATTGCTTTGTAAATCACTTCATGTGTTTGGACCTCTGCTCATTTTTCTTTTATAAAGACTGGATAATAACTATTGATTTGTTTTCAGTATGTTTTGGGTTGCATAAAAATACCACAGAATTGCCGGCGCCGCGGCTCAATAGGCTAATCCTCCATCTGCGGTGCCAGCACACTGGGTTCTAGTCCCGGTCGGGGTACCGGATTCTGTCCCGGTTGCCCCTCTTCCAGGCCAGCTCTCTGCTGTGGCCAGGAGTGCAGTGGAGGATGGCCCAAGTCCTTGGGCCCTGCACCCGCATGGGAGACCAGGAGAAGCACCTGGCTCCTGGCTTCAGATCAGCACAGTGCGCCAGCCACAGCGGCCATTGGAGGGTGAACCAATGGCAAAGGAAGACCTTTCTCTCTGTCTCTCTCTCTCACTGTTCACCCTGCCTGTCAAAAAACAAAAACAAAAACAAAAAAAAACCCCACAGAATTAGTACTTTAAAAAGAAAAGAAATTTGTTTCTTATAATCTGGTGTCCAGGAAATATGAAGTCAAGAAGCTGCATCTAGAGTAGGTCATCTCACCACATCACAGCGTTGCAGACAAAATTGCAAGAAGAGGGGCTGGCACTGTGGCACAGTAGGCTAATCCTTCACCTGCGCTGTTGGCATCCCTTATGGGCACTAGGGCAAGTCCCAGCTGCTTCTCTTCTGATCCAGCTCTGTTCTATGGCCTGGTAAAGCAGTGGAAGATGGCACAAGTGTTTGTGTCCCTGCACCCACATGGGACCCCTGGAAGAAGTTCCTGGCTTCTGATCATCCCAGCTCCAGCCATTGAGGCCATTTGGGGAGTGAACCAACAGATGGAAGACTTCTTTCTCTCTCTCTCTCTCTCTCTCTCTCCCCCTCTCCCTCTCCCTCTCCCTCTCCCTCTCCCTCTCCCTCTCCCTGTCTATAACTCTACCTCTCTAATAAATAAAATCTTTTTAAAAATTGCATGATGAGAGAGAGAGCAAGAAATTAAACTCATTGCCTCAGGACCTTTCAACATTGGTATTAATCCATTCCTAAGGACAGAAACTGTTCCACTAAGGACTATTTTTGCAACACATAATTGCAGGGGGTATGTTAAAACCATAGCATTTTGGGGGCCAGCACTCAGGCGCAGCAGGTTAAAGCTGCGGCCTGCAGCACCAGCATCCCATACAGGTGCCAGTTCAAGTCCCGGCTGCTCCACTTCCAATCCAACTCTCTGCTATGGCCTGGGAAAGCAATAGAAGATGGCCCAAGTCCTTGGGCCCCTCCACCCAGGTGGGAGACTTGGAAGAAGCTCCTGGCTCCTGACTTCAGATCAGCTCAGCTCTGGCCATTACATTCATTTGGGGAGTGAACTAGCAGATGGAAGACCCCTCTCTCTCTCTCTGGCTCTACCTCGCTCTGTAACTGTCTTTCAAATAAATAAAATAAATATTTTTTTAAAAACCCATTGCATTTTTAAAGCTAAAATATGGGTTATTATTTTGTCTTTTGTAACCTGTGATTTAGTCCACGTGTATTTTTTATTTTATTACTGTATCATACAGCTCTAGAATTTCCATTGTTTTTCCAGTTGTTTTTTCTACTGATAATTTTGATATATCATCCTTTATATTATAGATTATAAACATATAGTATAAGTATAGCATAAACATATTTTACTTTCAAAATCTGGGTTAACTTAAGTTTCTTTCTAGTGATTCTTTTTCCTTTTGATTATAAATCACATTTTTTTTCTTTACCTGGGTGTTGATTCTGAATTTCTTCTTGGATATTATAAATTATGTTATAGAAATTGAGTACTGTTATATTTCTCAAATGATTTTTATTTTACAATGTAGTCAATAGGCTAAAGTCAAATTCCAAACTCTGCATTCCTTGCAGTGATAAGTAATTAACTTTTTTAAAAAAGATTTATTCATTTATTTGAAAGAGTTACACAGAGAGAGGAGAGGCAGAAAGAGAGAGAAGTCTTCCATCTGAGGGTTCACTCCCCAGTTGGCCACAATGGCTGGAGCTGAGCTGATCTGAAGCCAGGAGCCAGGAGCTTCTTCCAAGTCTCACACGTGAGTGCAGGGGCCCAAGGACTTGGGCCATCCTCTACTGCTTTCCCAGGCCATAGCAGAGAGCTGGAGCAGCTGGGGCACAATCTGGCACCCATATGAGATGCCAGTGCTTCAAGCAAGGGAATTATCCGGCTACGCCACAGGACCCACCACTATTAACTTTATTTCATCCATTTATTTTACTAGCAGAGAGACAGCAAGACAGATAACCTAACTGACAGACATAGGTTTCACACATCCACAGGTTCATTATCCAAATGCCTGAAAGACCTGTGGGTGCACCAGTTCAGAGCTAGAAGCTGGGAACCTAATCCAGGTCTCCCATGGGCGTGGCAGGGACCAGATTACTTGAGTCACTACCTGCTGCTTCCCACGGTGCACATTAGCAGGAAGATGGAATTGGAAGCAAAGTTAAACCATGAAACCACACATCTGAATATGGGTTACAGGCATCCCAAATGGTACCATCACCACTGCACCCACATCTCATAACTTCAATCCTTTCATGGATGTCTACATGATGATGGTTTGTTCATCTCTATTTTTTTATCTTTATGTAAAAAGTTCACCATTGCTTTTAGGTAAATCAAAAGAAATATGTGTAAAATATTACTATATACATACCGGTAGCAGAGCATCTAGTTTAGTGTCTGGGCCCAAATCTGTCTGAGTCTGCAGTGTGTGTTACAGAACAGGGGCAAACCATGCCCATGCTTGCTTATCTGTGCCTTGTCTACTCCATGATAGGAGTTCCACTTTTAGGTGAGTAGAAGAATCTGATGACTTCTTCCCTATTACAGCCCTTCAGGGACTTGAATTTTATTCTTCTGTACCTTCCTTGCTTTTCCCAGTCAGTTATAAGATATAGATGTCCACACAGAAATACATTGCCAGACCTCTTTAAGTATGGGGTATAAAGCAAAAGAGAAAAGCAGTGAAACAAAAATTGGTTTGTTGCGGAGGTCAACAGATGGGATGATTTTTCTTAGACCAAGACCAAAACAGAAGAGACACAGTTCATAAACTAAGAAATGAAGAAGGGTATATTGCCAATAATTTTACAGAAATTTAAAATATTATAAAGGAATACTGTGAATCAATATGTCCAAAGATCCAACAATTTATATGAAATACATACATTGCTAGAAAAATACAAATTGTCACACTCTCAAGAAGAAACTAAAAATATTATTAGCCTAAAGCAGTCAAAAATCAAACAATAATAATAATAAATTTAATCAGCAATTTAAAACATTACCACAAAGTCCTGACCCAGATGGTTTCTGTTGTGAATTCTATCAAGCATTTAAAGAAGTAATAACAATTTTTCAAACTTGCCAACACATTTACACTTCCCAACTCATTTTCTTTCTTTCTTTCTTTCTTTCTTTCTTTCTTTCTTGAACAGGCAGAGTCAGACAGTGAGAGAGAGACAGAGAGAAAGGTCTTCCTTCCATTGGTTCACTCCCCCAAATGGCCGCTACAGCCGGCGCTGCCCCGATCCGAAGCCAGGAGCCAGGTGTTTCCTCCTGGTCTCCCATGCAGTTGCAGGGCCCAAGCACTCGGGCCATCCTCCACTGCCCTCCCGGGCCACAGCAGAGAGCTGGACTGGAAGAGGAGCAACCGGGACTAGTACCCAGCGCCCCAACCGGGACTAGAACCCAGGGTACCGGCGCCACAGATGGAGGATTAGCCTAGTGAGCCACGGCGTCAGCTTAATACTTAAAAAACAATGAGTTCAAATGAATTCTATTGATATCCTAAAAGTCAACAATAGCAGGTAACTGGATCACAAGCAGAGGAGCTGGGCCTCAAACTGGCCGTCCAATACGGGAATGCAGGTCCCCTAGCTGTGGCTTACCCTACTGCACCGCAACACCGGCCCCAACAGATTCACGTTAACATACCATGCTGATTGAGAAGAAACATTGCATTCTTAGCAAAAAAAAAAAAAAAAACATCAGCAAGAGACCTGGAAACATCACCTCAGCATTGTCCCCCTGCAGGCTGTGCTGCTGGCCTCCCTGGCCTGGAGGTAAAGGGGAAGATGATCAAGCTCACCACTCACTGTACTTTGCCCAAGGCCATGGCCACAGAGTCAAGAGCCGACCACGGGGAAGTGCAGGGCCCCCTGCAGCCAGTTCCAGCAGGTCCGCCAACTCCACCTCCCCTTCTCCAGGCACCAAGCTTCTGAGCCGTCCGGCTTCCTTTTCACAGATGGGCAGAGGCTGAACACCCTGGACCTGTGGGCGGCAGAGCCTGACTACCACTGTGACGTGAAGAGCCGCATGTTTATGTAATTACTGCGCGGGCGCACCTGATTGGATTGTTTGCAAAGCTGGAGGGGGAGCGTTCTACGTCACAAAGGTGTAGCCAATCAGAGGAGGGCGGTGACTTGGGGTGCGCAGTGTGGGGGTTATGAGGGGAGAAGCTTGGGCACTGGTCTGAAGCCGCCTCCTCCCCCTTTCTGTCTTCCGCTGCAGCAGAGGCCCCTGCACCTCTGTTCCCACAGGGATCCGTGAGCTGGAGCCTGCAATGACCTGCTGCAGGTGAGTCTCCATTTGCTGACTGTGACTCCTGGGCCCTTGTCTTTCTTCACATTCCTGGGTCATTTTTCTGTACGGTCATTTACGTTTTATAAATTGATTTGAAGAGTGCATAAAGACATTAGATAATTGAATCTTTTTTTGATTCACTTCTCTTGTAAATACGTGTTTCCTAGTCTGTCTTTTGTCCACTTTGTTTCTTGCTGGTACTTAGTAATCCAATTGGCTTTATATGTGGATCTACTGCCCAGAAGTGTTGCTATAGCTAATTATCAGTTACATTTGTTTGGGGATTAGTTAGTTTGTTTAGATTAGTTTGATTAGATTGTTTGGGAATTATCTTTGTATGTAATGTCATCCACATATATTAACAATTGTATTGCACAAAAATGTGATTCTTTAGGCCGGCGCTACGGCTCACTAGGCTAATCCTCCGCCTTGTGGCGCCGGCACACCGGGTTCTAGTCCCGGTCGGGGCGCCGGATTCTGTCCCGGTTGCCCCTCTTCCAGGCCAGCTCTCTGCTGTGGCCAGGGAGTGCAGTGGAGGATGGCCCAAGTCCTTGGTCCCTGCACCGCATGGGAGACCAGGAAAAGCACCTGGCTCCTGCCAAGGGATCAGCGGGGTGTGCCCGCCGCAGCTCGCAGGCCGGGGCGGCCATTGGAGGGTGAACCAGGCAAAGGAAGACCTTTCTCTCTGTCTCTCTCACTGTCCACTCTGCCTGTCAAAAAAAAAAAAAAAATGTGATTCTTTTATCTTACGTGTCTTTGTTTCCCTGACTATAGGTCCAGTACAATGTTATGAGAGGTGGGCGTCCAAGGAAAAATCTCCCAGTGCTCCTTAAGTAATTTATTGCATGCTAATTATAGATAATCTTGATCTGATTAAGCAAATCATTATTTTTAAATATTTTGCTAACATTTGATTTTTATGGCTGGATGCAGAATTTTATTAAATGCTTTTAAAACATTTAATCTAAATGATCATGTAATCCTTGTATTCTTCACCTACCTGGATGATTTACATGTGTTTTTGAGAATGTTAAATACTCTTACACTTTTTAGTGTATCTTGCTTGTCATTGATCTATTAGTTTTTCATATGTGGTTTATATAATATTTTAAAATATTTAATTATTTGATAGGCAGAGTTACAGAGAGGCAGAGGCAGAGAGAGAGAGAGAGAGAGGCAGGTCTTCGTCTGCTGGTTTACTCCTCAAATGGCTGCAATGGCTGGAGCTGGGCTGATCCAAAGCCAGGAGCCTGGATCATCTTCCAGGTCTCCCACACAGGTGCAGGGGCCCAAGGATTAGGGTCATCTTCCACTGCTTTTCCAGACCATAGCAGAGAGCTGGATTGGAAGTGAAGCAGCTGGGATGTGAACCTGTGTCCATATGAGATGCCGGCACACAGGCAATGACTTTACCCACTATGCCACAGCAGGGGCCCAAATTTATATAATATTTGGTTAGAATATTTGCATATCGGGGCCGGCACTGTGGCGCATCAGATTAAAGCCCTGGCCTGAAGTGTTGGCATCTCATATGGCACCAGTTCTAGTCCCAGTGGTTCTAGTCCCAGCTGCTCTGCTTGCAATCCAGCTCTCTGCTATGGCTTGGGAAAGCAGTAAAAGATGGCCCAAGTCCTTGGGCCCCTGCACCCACATGGGAGACCTGGAAGAAGTGCCTGGCTCCTGGCTTCAGATCAGCACAGCTCCAGCCATTGAGGCCATCTGAGGAGTGAACCAGTGGATGGAAGACCTCTCTCTCTGTCTGTACCTCTCTCTGTAACTCTGTCTTTCAAATAAATAAAAGAAATCATTAAAAAAAGAATATTTGCATATCTTTTTGAACAAGAAGCTCTATAATTTCACTTTAATTTATATCATATTCTGAGTTTCATCATCTGTGTAATAGTGGTTTCCCAAAAGAAATTTAAAAATATTCTACTTATTTTCACTTGGGGCAAGTGTGGGAAACAAATGTTTTTTCCTTCCTTAAAAGTTTGGAATATTCCATAAGTCGTTTTCAAGTTCTTCAAAAATTGGCTCAGTTTGTTTAGTTAGTATAGTTTTTTAATTCTATGTTTTGGGAAACTGTTTTTCAGAATATAGTGGATTTTAGTGTCTGTAGTCAAATTTTCACCCCTAAGAATTTCATAAAGCTCTCTTAGCATCTTTGTAAGTTCTATGAACTCTGTAAAGATGATTCTGTTTTAATTTCTTGAAAGTGCCTTTTGGCTAATTAATTTTCTTAATATTTTTAAGATGTTTTTTGTGATGGCCTTTCCTTTCACTGAATGTCAAAAACTACAATTAAATCCATAAATCATGAATATGTTGTGGCACAGCATGTTAAGCCACCACCCACAAGGCCAGCATTCCATGAGTCCCAGTTCCAGTTCTGGCTGCTCCATTTCTGATTCAGCTCCCTGCAAATACATCTAGAAAAATATCAGAGGATGACCCAAGTAATTGGGCCCCTACCACCCACATAGTAGACCTGAATGGGGTCCCAGGCTCCTGGCTTTGGCCTTGCCAGGCCCAAGGTGGAGGCCATTTAAGGACTGAACCAATGGATGGCATATTCTCTCTCTCTCATGCTCTGTCTCTCTCTCTCTCTCTCTCTCTCTATATATATATATATATACATATATACACACACATATATATGCATATATATTTATTTATCTTCCTCCATCCCTCCCTCTCTGCTGTAAACTCTGCTTTGCAAATAAATAAAATAAACCTTTTTAAAAATAATATTGGGATATAGAAGAAGAACTGAAATAGGAACAAGAACAAAAACAGAAACGGGACTGACAGAGGAAGGAGAGGAAGGGAACAATCAATGGAGTCATACCACTGTGTCAGTTTCCAGGATGGCTCCTAATGACTCATGTCCTGGTGCTCCTGCCCCAGTGCAGTCATTTCCCACACTGACTAGGACTCACCTACATAATCCAGAAGATATTCCAGAAATGATGGAGTGGGACTTATGAGGCCAGATCCTAAAAGACATTTAAATTTCTCCCTTGCTCTCTTTATATAAGTTCTGGAGAATAAGCCAGCATCGCAATTTTGGGAGCGCTCAGACAGCGCTCATAGAGAAGTCCACATAGTGCCCAACTGAGGCCTACTGCTACCAACCAGCACTGTGTTTCTAGGCACGCGAGTGAGTGTACTGGACGTGAATCTGCCAGCCTCATCCATACCTTCAGATGACTGCAGCCCAGCCAACAGCTCAATGCAACTGCTTGTGGAAAGCAGGTACAGAACTATGTATGTCAACATTTCTGGATTTCTCACCCAGAGAAGATGGCATGTTTCTTGCTTTTAAGCTATTAAATGTGGGGGAAATTGTGTACAGTAATAAATAACTGTGAATGGTAGGTGAAATAAGGTCTAAAGAATTACCATTTAATTTTGTTCGTTTAGTTTAACTTCTTGAAGGTTATTAGTGACCTTGAAAAGAGCAGTTCAGCAGAGTATGTGATCAAAAGCCTTATTAGAGTGTGTTCAGAGGGACTGAGAGAAGAGAAAGTGGAGACAGAAACTGCAGATAATTCTTTGATGATTTTTTCTGTACAAAGAAACAGAGAATTGGGGCAGTAGCTGAAGGGAAAAGGGTGCTCAGGTTTTGCTTTTGATTTACCAAATAATGTAGCCTGATGTATAAGCTGCTGCTGCTGATTTAACAGATAGGCATAAAATACAGTTAAATGTGTAAATGGCTGGTAGGTCCACTGTCCTTGAGTAGTTGAATGAAAAAAAGATCTAGATCCGTGTCAAGGAATGGGCCACAAGAGGACAGAGAGTTCATAATTAATAGGAGAAGGGCAGGCAGAGTACCCACTGCTCCTATTAATGGGTAGGTGTGGTGGTGGATGCCCTTATTTATTCTGCTTATTGAGAAGCAATGTCATCAAAAGCGAGTGAGAAGGAGAGAAGGGAAAGGAGATTAGAGACGGTGTTGGAGAGTCATCCATGACAGCACACTGGGATGTAAGTACACTTTCCCAGGGAGTCACAGCAAGGATAATTTAATCAAAATCAGTACCCAGGTATTCAATTTTCATAAATTCTTTTCATACAGTTTTCTCTTTCCCTAAAATAGAATGCCGCCTAATGGGTACAGAGTTTGGGCTTGGGCAGATGAAAACATACTGGAGATGGTAGTGAAGATGGAATTGCAACAATGTGAATGTACTCACTGCCATACTTATAGACACACATGAGTGATTAAAGTGGTAAATTTTATGTTACTTATTTTTTACTTAAGACACACAAAGGAATGGAGTACTGATATGTACATCCTACAAGGGAAAAGACAGTCACAAAAGTCCATATTATAATATTCAATTCATATGAGAGTCCAGAATAGGAAAATCTATAGATGGAGAGGAGGAGGTAGACGAATAACTATATTTCTGAAGTTGTACTCCAGAAATTTGTATTACTTAAAAAATAAATTTAAAAAAATTAAAGAGCTCAAAGCATGCAAAGAAGAAAATCTATAGAGACACATCATAGATTAGAACTGGGGTTGAATGGGGACACTTTGCAAGAATAAGGGATTGATAAAGGGCACAGGGTTTCTTTGTGAGATGATGAAATGTTCTAAAATTCATTGTGAACATATCTGAGAATATGCCGAAATCATTATTATATGATGTAAGTGGGTGAGTGTTTTGTTATGTGAATTGTATCTCAACAAAATTCTCTTTTTTAAATAGATTGACTACTGATATAGGTTACATGAATGAACCTCAAAAACATGTCAAATGAAGGAAGCCAGATGAAAGAGACTCCTTATTGTTTAATTCCACTTACATTACATGTGATTTTTGGAAAGAGAATCAGATGGCAAGTGGCATGGATGGGCATACCTCTTGTTCCCTTCCCTCCCTTCAGACTTGTACCACTCCAAGTAAGCTTTCTTTTTTTTTTTTAAGATTTATTTATATGAAGGTCAGAGTTACACAGAGAGAGAAGGAAAGGCAGATAGAGAGGTCTTCCATCTGCTGGTTCCCTTCCCAGTTGACTGCAATGGCCAGAGCTGTGCCAATCCAAAGCCAGGAGCCAGGAGCTTCTTCCAGGTCTCACATGTGGGTGCAGGGGCCTAAGTGCTTGGGCATCTTGTACTGCTTTTCCAGGCCATAACAGAGAGCTGGATCAGAAGTGCAGCAGTCAGGACTCGAACCGGCACCCATATGGGATGCTGGCACTGCAGGTGGTGGCTTTCCCTGCTATGCCACAGCGCTGCCCCTCCAAGTAGCCTTTCAACTGATAAAGTTGCAGGAAAAAGATAGGGGCAGGATGGACACCTTTGTGTGGCAGTGACCTCGTCCAAATCCAGCTCTAGGTGTGCTTGCCCATATGCTCTTCAGCAGATCACCTTGCTGATAACCATGGGGCAAAGTGTGCACAGAAAGATCAGCCAAAAGAGGAACTAGTCATGACCTGGAAAGCTATTTTGCTGAGATAATTCTTTTTTAACCCTCAGAAAATACCATATTTGTTTCCTTTCCTTCAAACTTGCTGCTAGGCACTTAACTGAACCTGCCCACCTCATTCACTACGGTTTGGATATTAGTTAGGGTGCGGGACCAAAGGCACATCTTTAAAGGTTTGGTTCCCCAAGTCTTATGTTAATGATGTTAATGGTAGTAAATGGGTGGAAACATCCGATTGTGATGTTTAGAGGTGGGGCCTTGTGGAAGCAATTAGCTTGGATTAGATTACCAGTGTGCAGTCCCCATGATTGAATCCTGGTGGTCTCTTAAGGAGAGGCACAGTGACAGAACTCCTCTTGCCACTGGATGCTCTGCACCATCTCAGGACTCTGCCAGGAAGAATGCCACCTCCAAATGCCAAGCCACTGGGGTTGACTCATCTTTTCCTTTTATTTATTTTTTAGATTTATTTATGTATTTGAAAGAGTTACACAGAGAGAGGAGAGGCAGAGAGAGAGAGAGAGAGAGAGAGAGAGGTCTTCTATCCACTGGTTCACTCCCCAGTTGGCTGCAACAGCCGGAGCTGTGCAGATCCTAAGCCAGGAGCCAGGAGCTTCTTCCGGGTCTCCCACATGGATGCAGAGGCCCAAGGACTTGGGCCATCTTCTACTGCTTTCCCAGGCCACAGCAGAGAACTGGATTGGAAGTGGAGCAGCTGGGTCTCAAACTGGCACCCATATGGGATGCTGGTGCTTCAGGCCAGGGCATTAACCCGCTGCACCACAGCCCTAGCCCCGGCTCATCTTCTATACTTACAAAACCATAAGGGAAAATAAACATCATTCCCCCACAAGTAACTTGTCTTAGGTATCTATCTCATTGTGGTAATGAAAAAAATGAGTAATACTGCGTTCATGCTTAATTCATATCACATCTGGGTACAATGAGTGTGAAATCAGTTTTCAAAGTTCTACAGTCTTCCTTTGGTCACACACATTTTGGAATATTTGTCCATCCCTCCAGTTGAGAACTATGAAGTGTGCAGTGATCAATGAGTTCTCCTCTCCGTATTCCGCTCTTCTTCCTACCTGATCCTCCACTTAAGAACGATTCCTCAAAGTGGAAAGAAGGAAGCAAACTTGTACCTTTGGGCTCATCAAGGTGTGAACATTCACCTAGGAAACTAGGTGAAACTAAGAGATCAAGTAAAATTGGATAGAGGAATTATTTCAAATGATCTTTTCTTCTCCATATTCTAAGAAAATATATACTAGTTGGTTAGCTTTGACCATCAGGAAATATGCTATTGATAGTTTGACTCCCTTTGCAAACATCATATCAAAAATAAGAACACAAGGGGCCAGTGCTTTGGCATTGTGGATGAAGCCACCGCCTGCAGTGCTGGCATACCATATGGGTTCCAGTTTGAGTCCCAGCTGCTCCACTTCTGATGCAGCTCTCTGCTATGGCTTGGGAAAGCAGTGGAGGATAGCCCAAGTCATTGGGCCCTTGCACCCTTATGTGAGACCTGGAAGAAGCTCCTGGCTCCTGGCTCCTGGCTTCAGATCAGCATAGCTCCGGCTGTTGTGGCTATTTGGGGAGTGAACTAGTGGATGGAAGACCCCCCCCGCCTTCAAATAAACGAATAAATCCTTAAAAAAATAAGAACACAGGGGAGTGGGCATTTAACCTAGTGGTTAAGATGCCAGCTGAGACCCCCATGTCCCATATCACGGTACCTGCATTCAGTTACCAGCTCTGATTTCTGACTCTTGCATCTTGCTAGTGAAGAACCTAAGAAGCAACAGTGATGGCATTAATAGTTCAGTTCCTGACACCTACATGGGATACCTGGATTGAGTTCCAGGCTTACAGCTTCAGCAGGGGTCAGTTCTGACCATTTGGAGAGTAAACCAGCAGTTGGGAACTCTATTTACTTTCCTATCTCTGTCTCTGCTTCCTGAAAAGACAACAATTAGAGAAAATGACACATGGGTGTTATGAAAATGAGGTTATCATATTCTCTTGCTCATACATCAGATGATCAGTGGAAAGTAGGGTCTTTCTGGTATGCCTGAGCACTGAGTTGGGCCATGGATTGTGGTGGAAGACAGCAAGGGAGGAAGAGGAATATTAGGCAAAATCATTACCCTCTTATCCTTCTTTCTGAAGTGACCTCTCCAAAGCATCCACTCTTCCTCTGGCCCTCAGATTCCCACACGTAAATTCACTCTATTCTGCTTGTGTACATGCAATGAAACACACTTTAGCTATTTCTGTGTAAGATGTTGTATTTGTGTAGAGTGGCTAAAATTGAAACAACAACTCACTAGGCAGCCACGAAGTCTATTTAATTGAATGTCAGAGTTATAGTGAGAGAGAAAGAGAAGAGGGAAGAAGGTAGTGGAGGAAGGAGAGAGAGAAGAGGGAAGAATTGAGGGATAGAGAAAAAGAGAGAGAGAAGAGAGAATCTTTCATCCACTGGCTCTCTTCCCAGATGGCCTCAGTAAAGTCAGGATCCAGGAGCTTCATCTGGCCTCCCACATGGGTAGCAGAGGCCCAAGTACCTGGGCCATTTTCTGCTGCTTTCCCAGGCCACTAGCAGGGAGATAGATCACTAGCAGCCAGGACATTAACCAGCATGCATATGGGATGCTGACATTGCAGGCAGCAGCTTTACCCTCTGTGACACAATGCTGGCCCCCCAAAATAAAATTCTTAAAGGTTGTTTTTGATTTTGACTTAAACCAGTCCATATAACTGCCATCAGGTGGAATTATAAGAACGCTCAAAGCATTTTGTTCACAACGAAACTTTCTCAGTAACTGAACACTGCCCAAAAAAGGCATAACAGATTCAGTTTTCTTTTTATTTAGTTTTAAAATTATATCTAATTGGCCAGCGCCGTGGCTCACTAGGCTAATCCTCCACCTGCGGTGCTGGCACCCTGGGTTCTAGTACCGGTTGGGGTGCTGGATTCTGTCCTGGTTGCTCCTCTTCCAGTCCAGCTCTCTGTTGTGGCCCGGAAGTGCAGTGGAGGATGGCCCAAGTCCTTGGGCCCTGCACCTGCATAGGAGACCAGGAGGAAGCACCCGGTTCCTGGCTTCGGATTGGCACAGCACACCGGCCATAGCAGCCATTTGGCGGGGTGAGCCAATGGAAGGAATACCTTTCTCTTTGTCTTTCTCTCTCTCTAACTCTGCCTGTCAAAAAAAAAGTTTTACCTAATTATTTATATTTTATTTGAATGACAGAGACAGAAAGATATTCCATTCACTCATTCACTATCTCCCCTGCACTTCAAATGATCACAACAAGCAGGGCTGGGCAGGGGGCTAGAACTCAATCAGAGTCTAACATGTGAGTGGCAGGGAACCAGATTTCTGATCCATTTTGAGAGGAGTCATGGGTTAATAGGCAGTCTGGAAATTGAGGGTAGAAAATGTTCCCCCCAAAAGTTATCCTTAGCAAGGTCAGAAGTGCCTGCCTGTCCACTCCTTGGGAGCTTCCAGTCTTAACATGAGAACACCAAGGGTGTGGTGACTCAATCCTTCTGAGCTCCCAGTTAGTTTACTGTAAAGCAAATTAGGTTTCCCACCCTTGTGATGGCTCTTTTGTTTTATCATGAACAGGCCAGATAGGACAAAGGGTTGTAAATCAGGTCTTTGGTTTGTCCCCACCTTATTGATTGGCAGTTTCTTCCCCAAAATTGTACTTGAAAACTCCACTACCACCATCCCCTTAGGGTTTTTTCCTGTCTTGGAAGCCCCTCTCCATGCCGTTCTGGCTGGAGGTCTTTGACTCTAGTAAATCTTGCTTTTTAAATCTGTTTATCTGCTTGGAAAGTCTTCTTCCATGTGAGAAAAAGAACTGAGGTAATTATCTTTGCTGCCACCATTTCCCTGTAACACTGTCTTCTGCTGCCTTTGAGAGCCTAAAAAGCTAAATGTAATGCTTCTCCCTTTGTGCCTAGGTGCCTTAAGGTATAATTGAACAGACACCAAAAGGAATGTGACCCTTAGTTCACCCTTACCGTTTGCTTAAGGACAGTTTGCTTAGGGCCCTTGCTTAAGGCCCCTTTGTTCCCAGAGGAGCCACAAGACTTTGTGACCTTCCTCTGCTTGCTCAGGCATTACAGCCACAAGATAAACTCCCCCTGTGATAAACTCTCCTAGCAACAGCCAATTAGCAGATAACAGAGAAATACCTAGTTTCTGGTGTCTTCTCAGGGCAGATAAGGTGATTAATAGCTACCCGAGACCCTACAGTTCGGCATTACACCCTAGCGGCCCGAACCCTATGCGTAGGCCAATCAATTCAAAAGGCATCAACCCCAAAGCCATCCAAACACCTTAGTAGGCCCATTCCCGCCACTGGATGCACTAATCAATTCTAAGAAATGTTCTTTAAATTTCCCGCGAGATAAGATGATTTGCTAAATGGTACCATGATGTGTAAACCCTATAAAAACCCT